ACACAGGTAGCTACCGCAAGTCAGGTAAGTAAAGGATGTACATAAAGACCGTGAGAAGACCATGCAGAGCAGCAGACCACAGAGTGTGACCCCCCCAAAACAAAAATAAACAAACAAAAGCAATAGTACAATGAGTAGGGTACCTGTTTTGCACATAGCCAACATGGGTTCAATCCTTAACACCCCATATGGTTCTCAGGACCCTATCAAGGGTATAGAATCAGAAGTAATCCCTTAGCACTGCCAGGTGTGGCATCTCTAGCCACCCCCAAAAGAAGGAGGCCCCAGCCCACTGCCTTTCTTGGTAATCCTACAGATTCAGTGGCTGGGTCCTCCTTGCTCTCCAGACCACATGAACCATTCTCACTGGCCATACTGTCAAAGGAAGGCACCTGCTCTGAACCTTTCCACACCCCTCTGGGAATGAGGCAGAGACTACCTGAATGTGAGCCTGGGTCCCACACACAGCTCCCTCCTGCCACAGCACAACACCAGCATTGCACGGGATGCTAATGATTCCTCTGCAGGCTCCTGTGGTCTGTAACCTCTCACCACTACTCTCTTCTGGAATACTTCATAGGCTCACAATAGCCCAGGCCTTCTGCGCCATGACATCTCTTCCAGGAGTATGGGAGGTCTCTTCAATATATTGGGTAAAGAAAAAGGCTATTTCGGTGCAGTATTTAAATAAATAATATGAAAATATTTTTATATAGCTTGTTTTATTTATAATTACTGGATCACAGGAACTGGTTCTCCCAGCTCCTGGGATTTCCTAAGCGTTAAGTAATAAAGGTACCTTATTATGTGAATGAGGGGACTTTTGGAAGCACCTAAGTAAGAGGGGCTAGTTTTCAGGAGAACCAAACCTGTGATTACAGTTTTGGAACTTCCAGTTCTTCTTGGTGGGGGGGGGGGGAGGGGGGAAACTGAGGGCCTAAAGACTGGTTTCAACCACCAAAAACCAGTGAGTCAATGAATTATGACTATCTTAAAGAAGCCTCCAGAAAACCCCTAAAGTAAGGGTTTGGAAGAGCTTCCTGGAGACTGGTCCTCTAGGAGGCCAAGCAAGTGCTTCACCCATGAGCCAACTCCGAGGCTCTGATGCTCCTTTGCTTGGACTCTGCTCTCTGACTGTAGATTCTATTCTCTATAAGTGATCAGTGATCTGGTGAGAAAATGGGTTTCTAAGTAATGTAAGCTGCTCTTCAAAAATGTATTGAGCCTGAAGAGAGGGCAGAGAAACCCTGGTTTGTAACCAAATGTTCAAAAGCACAGGTAACACGCTAGGCTTGTGCCTGCCATCTCAAGTGAAGGGTCTTAGGAGACCACTCCTAAACAGCAGAGTCAGATCTTTCACTGAGCTGGATTCTTAGGTACATGCTGGTGTCTGGGCATTGGTGTTTGATGTGGGGTGGCTTCCGCACATACTCTGGGACAGGGTCCTGTAAGTCAATCACCAGAAATATTTCCCAAACACTTGTAGGTGTTCACAGTTCCATAACTTGATAACCCAGAGTAATCTTTTTGTTTCAATTTTTATTAATGAAACACCACAAGGTACAGTTGTAGATTTAAAAAAATGTTTGTGTTTGGGTTTCAGTTATACAATGATCGAGTACCCATCCCTCCACCAGGGCCCATTCTCCACCACCAATGATCCCAGTATCCCTTCCCCCACTCCCACCCCCAACGCACCCCTCCTCTGTGGCAGGGCATTCCCTTTTGTTCTCTCTCTCCTTTTGGGTGCTGTGGTGTGCAGAAGAGGAATTGAGTGGCAATCATGTTCCGTCTATAGTCTACTTTCAGCATGCATCTCCCATCCTGGGAGGATCCTCCCAACACCCTTTACTTGGTGTTCCCTTCTCTATCTGAGCTGCCTTTTCCCCTATCATGTGCACCTGGACTTCAAGCCATGGAGCGAAACTCCTGATACTTATCTCAACTATTCTTAAGTGTTAGTCTCCTATTATGTTACTTTATATTTCACAGATGAACGCAATCTTTCTATGTCTGCCCCTCTCTTTCTGACTCATTTCACTTAGCATGATACTTTCCATGTAGAACCACTTGTATGTAAATTTCATGATTTCATCTTTTCTAACAGCTGCATAGTATTCCATTGTGTAGATGTACCAAAGTTTCTTTAACCAGTCATCTGTTCTCAGGCACTCAGGTTTTTCCCAGATTCTGGCTATTGTAAACAGTGCTGCAATGAACAAACAAGTGCAGATGTCACTTCGACTATACTTTTTTTTAATCTCTGGGATATATTCCCAGGAGTGGTATTGCTGGGTCAAATGGGAGCTCAATTTCTAATTTTTTGAGAAGCGTCCATACTGTTTTCCAGAAAGGCTGAACTAGTCTGTATTCCCACCAGCAGTGTAGGAGGGTCCCTTTCTCCCCACATCCGCACCAACACTGGTTGCTTTTGTTCTTTTAGATGTGTGCCAGTCTCTGTGGTGTGAGGGTATCTCATAGTTGTTTTGATCTGCATCTCCCTGATGATTTGTATTTCTTCCTTGAGAAAGTTTCTATTCATTTCATCACCCCATTTTCTGATGGGGTTGGATGTTTTCTTCTTATGTTTTCTTCAACCGTGCCTTATATATCCTTGATATCAACTCCTTGTCCCATGGGCATCGGGTTAATACCCTTTCCCATTCTGTAGATTGTCTTTTTATTTTGGTCACTGTATCTTTTGTGGTGCAGAAGCTTCTTAGTTTAAGATAGTCCCATTTGTTATCTCTGTTTCCACTTGGTTGGTCAGTGGAGTGTCATCTTTGAAGATACCGTTAGCCTCAATATCGTAGAGGGTTTTGCCAACTTTGTCTTCAATGTACCTTATATATTCTGGCCTGATGTTGAGATCTTTAATCCATTGTGATCTGACTTTTGTGCATGGTGTTAGGTCGAGGTCTAAGCCCATTTTTTTGCATATGGTTGTCCAGTTATGCCAGCATCATTTGTTGAAGAGGCTTTCTTTGTTCCACATCACATTTCTTTCTCCCTTATCAAAGATTAGATGTTCATACATTTGGGGTTGTGTGTAAGGATATTCCACCCTGTTCCATTGGTCTGCGACTCTGCCTTTGTTCCAGTAACATGCAGTTTTAATTATTACTGCTTTGTAGTAGAGTTTGAGGTTGAGGAGGGTAATGCCTCCCAACATCTTTTCCCCAATAACTGCTTTAGCTATTCGTGGGTGTTTGTTGTTCCATATGAATTTCAGGAGTGCTTGATCCATTTCTCTGAAGAATTTCATGGGTATCCTTATAGGGATCACATTGAATCTGTATAATGCTTTGGGGAGTATTGCCATTTTGACAATGTTAATTCTTCCTATCCATGAGCAGGGGATATGTTTCCATTTCCTCGTGTCCACTTTTATTTCATGGAGTAGCGTTTTGAAGTTTTCATTGTAGAGGTCCTTTACCTCTTTGGTTAGGCTGATTCCTAGGTACTTGATTTTCTTACCTAGAGTAATCTTGAGAATGCACTTTGAACTCCTTGGATACCAACTTCCATAAAGAGAGAACAGAATTCCCTGGCATATGGAGGAATTAATTTACTTCAACAACTAGACTCTGAGACTCCTCTAAATTATGAGCTCCTTAGATGTACATTTCAGCAGTTTTCTGGCATATGGTGGGCAGTGAATAAATAGTGAATAAGTCAATAAATGGAGCACATAATAAACCATTTTTTAAAGTTTTGCATTATAGATAGGGATTAAATCAGCCTAATGACCCGCTCACAGATATCTGGATAAGGAAGCTATGGTACCTATACTCAATTGAATAGTGCTCTGCTGTTAAAATAAATCCAATTACACCAGTGGGGTAAAATGGCTGAACTTGAGGTGATCATGCTAAGTGAAATAAGGAAGTGAAAGGAAATTAATACTCTTACATGTGTGGCATAGAAATACAGCAAACAAACTGGCAAAAACAACAACAAAACTAACCCTTAGATCTGGTGCAAACCCTAGTGATTATAGATGGGAAAGAGCGTGTAAGAGATGGTAGATGGTCTTTTTGGTGGTGAGAGAACACAAGAACTCTGGTGATGGGTACCATGAATATTAAACAGATCCTTCAGAAATTCCATAACACTGAAAATGAATGAAAGCAATCGAAAAACAAGGTGAGTGTGGAGGTGATGCTGTGCTTGGTGCAGAAATGTATCCATCACCTCTCCAGCCCACAGCTGCCATTCTATGGAGCTCTGTCCACTAAAATAATCATCCAGTCAGCATGCGTTGCTGACACTGGGAAGAGTTTAACACCCATTAGGATTCTCTTCACTGAATGACCTGAAAGAACCAGTCAGCTTCCCTTCTCAACATGTTCTGATGAGTGCTTTACAGCCCTGGGTGCCAAGGCCCTCTTTCTCAAATTATTCCCCAAATAAAAAAGACACACCCTAGACTATAAAGTAGTAAAGCAGCTTATTAGCCACTCCCACACTTCAAAGCAGCCACAGGAGGGCTTTTGCTTCAAAATCTGAAAGCTGGGCCTGGAGAAACAGTAGAGAGGGCAAGGCTTGCACGTGGCCAATTCTGGTTTGATTCCTGGCATCCTATATGGTTCCCCGAGCACTGCCAGGAAGGATTCCTGAGGACAGAGCCAGCAGTGACCCCTGAGCAACACCCAGTGTGGCCCCAAAACCAATCTGGGACAAAATCTGAGAGCTGCTTTCTGGACACACACCCATCTTCTGCCGTTTCAATCCATTATACCTTATTCTTTTCTAAGCCCATCCGAGGAATGCTGTCTGGGAAAAGGATGCTTGCACACTCCTCTCCAGCACCAACCTGGAATGAGCATCACTTTTATCACTTTGTCTTAAGAGATTTTTCTCTTCCTCCGTTGAGTCTACCAAGTCACTGAGCAGAGCAAAAAGGAAACTGAGCTTTTCATTCTGCTCATGGCTCTCTCCAGAAGGCTGCCCACCTACTGGTCCAGATGCTGGCCTGAGAGCAGCCACTGACCACCCACCTGCAACTGGTCCCGCTGCCTGGTGTGGCACATGAGAAGGTCTTCAGCAGACAGAATGCCTTTGGGTAGCTCTGTCATGGCCAGGTAGATGCCAAACGTCTGGAGCATCTGGGCAGTGTTCTTCAATGTCAAGGCAAAATTTTCAATAGCCTGGAAGGTCAGACAATCATGATGAGGTAGAGAAACCACACATACCTTCAGGTAACAAAGCTTTCCTGCCTCTCTTCCACTCTCCTCTCTCTTCTTTTTTTTTAAAAAATTTTTATTAGTGAAACACCATAAGGTACAGTTGTAGACTTACAAATTTTTGTGCTTGGGTTTCAGTTATACAATGATCAAGTACCCATCCCTCCACCAGTGCCCATTTTCCACCACCACGGGTCCAAGTATCCCTCCCATCCCTTCATTACCCCCATCCCACCCTGCCTCTGTGGCAGGGCATTCCCTTTTGTTCTCTCTCTCCTTTTGGGTGTTGTGATTTGCAAAAGAGGCATTGAGTGGCAATCATGTTTGGTCTATAGTCTACTTTCAGCATGCTTCTCCCATCCTGGGAGGATCCTCCCAGCAACCTTTATTTGGTGCTCCTTTCTCTGTCTGAGCTCCCTTTTCCCCTAGAGTGTATGGCTGGCCTCCAAGCCATGGAGCAAAACTCCTGGTACTAATCTCATCCACTTTTGGGTGTTAGTCTCCAATTTTGTTACTTTATGTTCCCCAGATGAATGCAATCTTTCTATGTCTATCCCTCTCTTTCTGACTCATTTCGCTTAACATGATACTTTCCATGTAGTACCACTTGTGTGTAAATTTCATGACTTCATCTTTTCTAACAGCTGCATTGTACTCCACTGTGTAGTTGTACCAAAGTTTCTTTAACCAGTTATCTGTTCTCAGGCACTCACGTGTTTTCCAGATTCTGGCTATTGTAAAGAGCCTACAGCAAAGCATCAATGGGGAAAAACTGAGAGCCTTCCCCCTCCTTTCTCTTCTTATCCACTCCCCAACTCCACTCGGCACTTTCCCACTCTCTCCTCTTACACTCACAGCCTGACTGCTACAGAAACTTGTCAGGAGGTGCTAAGAAAACATGTCAATAGAAAGAAAAGGTGAATATGTGGATTAGTCATTGGTGAAATTTAAGAAAACCAGTTATGTCCCTAATGGGAAAGGGTTGGAGACTTCCTCCTCTTCTTTAAGAAATGTCTCTGCCTTGGGCCACGGACAAAGCTCAAGGCTTAGCGCACATGTTTTGCATGTGGGAGATACTGATCCAGTCCCTGGCACTGCACAGTCCTCTGAGCACTGCTGGGAGTAGCCCCTGAGCACTGCTGAATGTGATCCCCAAAGTCAACAAAACAAGCAAACAGAAGCGTCTGAAGTGCCTTCCACTAAGGATCCTTCTTTGCTCCTGAGTAGGCATTTGCTAACTGGTGAGCGACTTCACAGCTAATATCCCGAGTGAGAGACCTGAATTTTAGCAGAACACTTCCGGGAATACGGCCAAACCTAAAAAAAGCAACACTGAACTTGAGAAGAGCTGGTTGAAGGTAGGGGCTTTGAGAGCACAAGTCATGCTGCTCAGTCGACTGGCACTCCCATGCCCACTGCCTCTGACCCGGAAGAGTTTCAGTTTTATTTCCCGAGTTTTGTTTTGTTTTTTTTTTGTCTTTGGGCCACACCCAGCGATGAGTATAACCCGTGAGTAGGGGTTACTCCTGGATCTGCGCTCAGAATCACTCCTGATAGTGCTCTGAAGGCCAGAGGGAGGCTGGGAGATCGAACTCAGGTTGACCGCATGCAAGGCAAATGCCCCAAATGCCCTACCCAATGTATTATTGCTCCCGGCCCCCACAAACAACTTCTGTATGGATGAATGGCGAGAACAAAATGACAACTTCCGCATTCTCATTTAGAAAAATGACCTCTGCTTCTGTAGTCCCAGAGGACGATTCTGATCATCAAAATCTACATAATCAAGTACGTGTCAAATCTGAGGTGGCCCTTCTAGATGGCAGAAGTCTGGGATGACCTGGGATGACAGGAATTTTTAGAACCTGGCTCACGACCTCCCTGTATTTCTTGACATTTTCATCCTTGAAGTATTGCTGTAGGAAGACTCTCACCTACTAGCATATGGATTCATACAGTCACAATCGTTTTGTTCTGTTGTTTGGGGACCATATCTGGCGGTTCTCAGAAGTTGCTCCATGCTTGGGGATCCGAGGGTCATGTGATGGCAGGGATTGAAAATGGGCCTCCCACATGCACTCAACCCACTGAGCTATCTCTTTAGCTGATATTACGATCTTAAACATCTTTGTACTTTCAGTCTGAAAGTTAGATAAACTGTACAATTCTTTGAAGTATATGAAAGTAGGTTACAACTTTCACACAATCTAACATGTATAAAGCATTTTCATTGAAAGTCTATGAAAAGAAACAAATGTTTCAAAAAAACTAACTTATTAGGGAGATTATAATAAGAAAATATAAGATTCTTAAGAATTCTGCTTGGAAGCTGGAGTGATAGCACAGTGGGTAGGGCATTTGCCTTGCACGTGGCCGACCCAGGTTCGATTCCCAGCATTCCATATGGTCCCCTGAGCACCGTCAGGAGTAATGCCTGAGTGCATAAGCCAGGAGTAAAACCTGAGAATCGTCAGGTGTGACCCAAAAAGAAAAAAAAATAATTCAGCTTTGAGTTGAAAAGATAGTACCAAAGTTAAGGCACTAGCCTTGTGTTTGATTGGCTCCAGTTCCATCCTTGGCACCACACTGCAGTCACTGATAGGGGTCACTTCAGCACAGAGCTATGGATAGCTCATGAACCCTACTGAGTGTGGCCCAACTCCCTGCCCCACTGGTAGAATTGGCAGATTTATGGAAAGAAAGCGGCCAACATGGCTGGAAAGAACCAGTTCCGTGGGAGCTCCGTGGCATCAGCTGACACAGCACTCCACGTGCAATTTTTCTGAGAAAACTCCCTCAAGAACACTGTTACAGGGGATGGAGTAGGCAAGGTACTTGCCGTGTACTGGCCCACCTGGGTTTGATCCCTACATCCCATAAGGTCTCTTGAGCCCCATCAGGAGTGATCCCTGTGTGCAGAGTCAGAAGCCCAGAGCACAGTCAAATGTGGGCACCTTCTTTCCCCACTCCCAACCCCCCCAAAATAAACCCTAAACCCACCATCATTTCAGGGAGACTCAACTCTACAGAACAAAAGTCTATGGATAAGATCAGGATTAATTAGTGCTTCCCCAGGATCGAGGGAGGGGAGAAGAAGAGTTTGAAAGAGAAAAGGGACCTGCAAATTGGGCAAGCTGGAACTTGGCAGAAAATGCCCACCTACGGTGGGAGGGTGGGAGTGCGAAGGATTCATAGAACATCAATTTTATACCAGGACTTGCCGAATTGTGAAAACACTATTGGGACTTGCCATGTCCAAGAGCTCAAGAGTGGGCACCCGCCGTGGGAGCAGGAAACAGATATTACTGAGGGAAGCCACACCAACGGGCCCCAGACCACAGGCGACAGGCCCGCTGCCTCGAGTGTCCTGGCCCCACCCCACCTGATAGGTCCACGCTGAGTCCTTAGGCTTCTCTCAGAATTCCATTTTCACTGTAACTCAGGAGTTTCAGAAACTCGGGACTTGTCAAACACAACCACAGGAGTGACCGCACTTGGTCTGAAACAGGAGCAGCCATTTCTGAGGTGAACCCGCCCAGCAGGGCCACAACCACAGCCGAGGCTCTCAGCCCAGCCCTGACACACTCACAGCCTTGAAGCGTCAGTTAACTCGCCATTCATTCTGACAGGCCTATAGCCACAGCCAGCTCAGAACCAAAGGAAGCACCCCCAAAGCGAGGGCCACTGATTTAGTCTCCCGAGGATACTGAGTGCCAGGGATCAAAAAACCTTCTGTTTTGTGCCTGTACCATGGGGTCAAACTTAAGTGGGAACTGAAAGTACCCAGCACAAACAGGGTACATGTGTCGCTAGACCACAGTCGGGGAGCAGCTGTTCCCAAGAAAGCAGCTGGAAGCTGCCAACCCAGGGGTGGCAGCAGGTAGCCAACACCCTGTGACCTGGGCCCCACCCATGAGGCGACGGCTGAAAACAGCCAGTCCCAAACTGCTGCTGGAAAATGCGAGCATCTTTTTGGAGCTACGAAGGTCAGAATGCTGCTGCTTCATGAGACCATTGACAGAAAAGAGTCACCAACCACAATCCCCTACCCTGCAAGGAAGTGACAGAAACATCAAGACAAACATCTGAAGAGTATCTGTTGCATCTGAAAGCAGCTCTATAAGAATCCTGGGTGACTATAAAGAAACAAATGGCAAAATGGCAAAAAACAAATGGCAAAAATAAGTGAAATGAGTCAGAGAGAGGAAAAAACATAGAATGACTACACTCATTTGTGGAATATAAAGTAAAGAACATAATGGGAGACTAATACCCAAGGATAGTACAGATAAGAGTCAGGAGGATTGCTCCACAGCTTGGAAGTCGGCTTTACACGCTGGGGGAAAAGGCAGCTGGGATAGAGAAGGGACCACCACAAAAATGATGCTTGGAGGGCACACTCGGGTTGGGAGATGTGTGCTGAATAGACTATGGACCAAACATGATGGCCACTTAGTACCTGTATTACAAACCGTAACACCCAAAAGAAGAGAGAGTAAAAGGGAATGTGCCTGCCACAAGGGGAGGATGGGGTTAGGGGTGGGGGGCGGGGGAAAGGGGGCTTGGGAGTGGGGAATGGGAACATTGGTGGTGGGGAACAGGAGGGAAGGGTACTTGATCGTTGTATGACTGAAACTTAATCAGGAAAGTTTGTAAGTCTGTAACTGTATCTCACGGTGATTCATTAAAAAAAAAAAAAAAGATTACCTACAATACTTAAAAAAAAAGTAAACTGCAACAAATTCCTCAACATCAATTATTTCTCTAACTACCAAAAGGCTAAAATCTCCTACTGAGTGCTGGCTAGGTCAGGAAACAGGAAACAAAATACAATTTTTGTTTCCTGGTCCAGAAATTAAGCAATGTTCTGTTGCTTAAAACAAGAGACACGCTTGAACGCTCATGATATTCACAGCCTCCAGGTTAAATTTACAGCTTGCTGGAAAACAATCACACAAACTAAAAATAGAGTAAAAAATCAACAGGGATTCCTATATTGTTGCATACCAAATAGGATTCATGCTAACTATATTAAATTGGGATCAAGAGGGACATTACATACTGGTTAAAGGATCAGTAGAACAAAAAGACTCAACTCTTTTTTTGCTGGATTTTTTTTAAACCACACTTGTGGTACTCAGGACTTACTCTTTGCTCTGTGCTCAGGAATCGAGGATCACTCCTGGCTGGCTCGAGGGGCCATATGAAGTGCCAGGGATCAAACCTGGGTCAGCCACATGCAAAGCAAGAACCCTACCTGTTGTACGATTGTTCCGACTCATGAAGGACTTAACTCTTATGAACACATAAACACCAAGTGAAAGGGCAGCAAAGTTTATAAAACAACAGCTAATAGATCTGAGGAGTTACATCAGTATAATACAATAGTGGAGAAAGATTTTAACAACCCACTCTTCTCTTTGGACAGATCAACCAGGCAGAATATTAGTAAGAAAACAAAAGCCCCAGGAGTTTTGAGTTGGAAGAACTGCATTAGTAGAGAGGTAGACAGAGAAGCCCTACTCTTTCATGTCCCACTCTATTTTTGCTTCAGTCCATGGCTCTGAAAACACAGCCTTTCCAATATCAGGGGGTCCTGGCCCAGAGTTAGTTGATCTTTAATTTCTCTGTCTTCTGGGAAATGAGGAGAGACCTTGAAAGGTCATGTTACTTGGCACTCACAGTTCTGTGGTTCATCCACTGACTATGACGATATTCCAAAGTTCCCCCCAAGTCTTCTGTCAGTTGACTTTTGTCAATGTAGCCATGAAGGTCAGAGGCAGAATTCAACATAATAATCTGTAAGAAAAAATAAACCCAAGCAACTAATGTATCATTCACAGAGAATTAAACAGTAGCTTTGTTTACATTGTTTACAGTACCTCAACTTTGTCTGACCAGGCATTCATACCCAATAGAGTTGGGCTGGAGCAATAGCACAGTGGGTAGGGCATTTGCCTTGCACGTGGCCCACCCGGGCGGTCCAGGTTCGATTCCTCCGCCCCTCTCAGAGAGCCCTGCAAGCTCTCCATGACGTTTCCGATATGCCAAACGGAGACATTACTGGGGCCGGATGAACGGGAGGACAGTGCTACAGTGCTACAACCAGCAGTGTTTTAAAGGTCCTCTACATTTCCTTTATATTGTTCTTTGAACAAAGAATACCCAAGCATTGACAGAATACCGGAGCATTGACTGATCTGTGAGAGAATGTCAATAGGACGAGGATCTCTGTCCTAAAACACCGAGAAAGGCAGGTCTTTCAAGTTTTTGCCAAAAGTTCCCAAGCTAAGGGGTACTCTTCATCCACCCAACTCAAGTGCTATACTAACACCTGAATATGCGTGAAGGTAGGACCAATAAAGGGCGAGTGGGATAAAATGCAAATAAAATTAGGATTCAGGGACCTACTGAGGGGTATGCACTCAAGACACTGATTCCACACATGCAAACTCCCAGCTGAATGACTACATGCCCAGTGTGTACCTTGCAGGGAAGAATCAAAGTACAAGGACATGGGAGATGACAAATGAAAACTGCAGCTGAAGATCATGCCCACGGGGTGAAAAGAAGCCCACACATCTAGAGGAAGCAGATGCATCACCTTTCTCTCCTCAGCAGAGGCCCAAACCAGGGCAGGGTCCTGACTCCCTCTCAGAGACCCTGTCTCAGCCCCTTCTGACTCGTAAATAGGAGTAATGAGGCGTTTCTCCACCTGCATTACCTGCATTGCACCCTCTTGAAGCCTTTAACTAATAACCTTAGATTTCTTCCCCAGCTTATTGTTTTGAAAATTGCTTCTTGGTTAGGGATCTGACCAAGACTATTGGTTTTCTTCAGTATGATTTGATGGCATTGATCAAGTCATAAATCCTCCTGTTGTTCATCGATTTGCTCGAGCGGGCCCAGTAACATCTCCATTGGAGACTTTGTTGTTACTGTGTTTGGCATATCGAATACATCACAGGTAGCTTGCCAGGCTCTGCCGTGCAGGCAAGATACTCTCGTAGCTTGCCGGGCTCTCTGAGAGAGGCGAAGGAATCAAACTCGGGTCAGCCATTTTGCTGCGTGCAAGGCAAACGCCCTATTGCTGTGCTATCGCTCCAGCCCAATCCTCCTATAAAATAAATTAAAAGAATGAAAGCTAGGGACCAAAGTCTACAGGTGAAAACAAGACTGATTTACTTATTCCACAGATATGAACTAACCCTATGAATATGCCAGGCCCTGAAGAGATCAAAATGCAAGGGCCACAGTGCGTGCCTTCTCTTTCACTTCTGTAGGAAAAAATATAACTAAAGATTTTTCAGAATGTAAGAAAAAGGACAAGAAAACCCTGAATCCATCAGGCCCTTCCTCCCCTTTTGGAGTTTCAAAAATATCATGAGCCTTTCTAAATTAGAAGTCAGAAAGGTATTTTGTTTCTGAATATGGGCTGCTCCTGTACCACTAGGACATTGGGAAAACTCAATGCACAGGTGGTGTGGGGAAGAGACCCTGGCAGCTAGGGTGAATCCCGGGGGTGTGCTACTCACCCTAGCACCAGGGGCCCATGTCCAGCTCAGAGAGCAGGAGAGGGACTTGCTGCCTCACTGGACAGCAACCAGCTTCAGTTTCAGATTAGTGTTAGAGCCCAGAGGAAATTTTCATGGAAAGCTAAAGGTGAACATTAGAAATGAATGAAAGATAGAAGATTCAGTTCTGCGAAGTGTTCGAATCTGCAGATTCAAAGTAATGCCAAGTTCTGAAAGCTTCTGGTTTTGGAGAAGCTGACAAGCTGATGCTAAATGTTGTATAGAAATGAAAAATGCATAGAAGACTTCAAGCAGTTGTATGGGGTAGGGGGAAGTTAGCCAACTCTCACTGCCTGAGAGGAGCCGAGAGACCATGTGTATATATGTGTTTGGAGGGCAAGGGGCAGGGTATGTGGAGTTGTTGGAACTCTGGTGGAGAGTGTGATGCAATAACTTTGTACCATTAATGTAACATTAGTGGCGATAATATTATAAATCATGATACCTCAATAAAGTGAAATATTTTTAAGTTAATGTGCCTGTGTGTGTATAATTCTAAATATGTGCACTTATGTACAGGCACTTATGCACCTATGTGCTGAGCAGGATCCTCAAAGAAACAGCAAATGGCTGAAATGTCATATGAGGTCAGAAAGTAAAGACAAATGTAACTAAAAACAAACAAGATAATGAAGGAGGACATGTTATAGGACATGGGATCTGGCTATAAGCAGATCCAACTAGCCAATTCAGAAATACCTTAAGCACCCAAATAATTATGATCGATAATTAATTGCAACTATTGGAAGGGAAAGGAATTTATGTTGGAGAAATATACAGGGAAGAAAGGGAAGTTTCAGCTTATAATAAATACTCATTTATGATTGGTAAATGGTGAGTGGTGGAGTCAGAAAGAAAGGTTTATTCTGGCATACATCATCAATGGGCACAAAGCAGAGAAATATCCTGTAGAGGAGGAGGATATTTATATGGTCTCAAAGATCTCTTCAAAGATTCCTTATTAGCTACAAGGGAAAACATAATAATACATTTGAGAATTTGAACAATGCTTTGAATAGGAGATCAAAACTGACATCACTGGGGCTGGAGAGACAGGAGAGTAGGTAAAGCACTTTTTTTACATGTGGCTGACCTGGGTTTGATTCCTGGCACCACATATGGTCCCCAGAGTACAGGCAAGGAGTGATCCCTGGGAGCAGAGCCAGGAGTCAGTCCTAAGTAGAGCCAGGAGTGGCCCCCAAACAAGCAAGCAAGCAGGCAAACAGCAACAGCAAAAATCCACATCACCAAAAGGGCAGGTGAAATGGTGTGTCTACATGTGAGGCCCTGAGAAGTCATGACCTTACTTAAATAGTATTCAAGCTAGGAGGGAACACTGCAAAACACAGCCTGAGAAACCATGAGATGAGCCCCCAATGAGGTATGCTATATTTTTCAATGATGTTTTTGTTCCTGGGTAACACCCTGTGGTGCTCAGGGGCTACCCCTGGCATTGTGCTTGGGGGTCACTCCCAATGGTGAAAGCGGCCGTGCACTCCAAGAATATGTTCACTCATATGTGAGGCTCGGCCAAAGAGTGTGGCCTGGAGCATGGCGGCGGTTGAATACACCTATAAATTTATATAATTATTTATAGAAGACAGAATCAAATAAATAATAAAGTAAGGTGTAGTAATAGGTAAAATGATTTAGGTAAAGAATTTAAAATGTTCTTTGCATCATTCTCATTCTTGAAATTTTTCTTTGAAATATTTTCAATTAAATCAAAAAAATTAGAACTTTACTTATCTTGATAGATTTATCTCATCTGTTTCTTCATTTTTCCAACTCAGATAAAATTTTCATGAATAAAATGCAGATTTTAAGGATTTTAATTTCAATTAGCCTTGAAGAGTGAATATACCATGTAATATCATCTAATCAAGACATTAAATATTTCCTCAGAAACTCACTCTTTCTAGTCACTCTCTTTTTCAGCCCCCAACAGCAACCACAGTTCTATCTTTAAATTTTTATCATTTATTGAAGTACTGGGTTATATATTGTTAGTGATGGTTTTGTGTGTCCCCCAAAGTCCCCAAACTCTCTCCCTTTGAACCATCCTATGCTCCCCTTCTTTCCCCTGTAACATCTGTTCTATGGATCAACTCTCCCATTTTGTTGCCTTTGATCCTTTGTTGCTACCTTGTTTTGCAGCTTTAAGTCCCACATAAGAGAGACTTAATTCTGCATCCACCCTCTCCTTCTGACTGACTCCACTCAGCAAGATATCCTCTAGTTCCAGCCACGTCGTGGAAAATTGCATGTTTTGCAGTTCTCTTTATTCAAGAAGAGGCCAAACTAAATTATGGAGATGTAGGGTTAAAACAGTGGCTGTTGGCTTAGTACAATAGCAAACATTGAAATTATCCAAATAAATGCCCAACTATTGATTAATGGATTCAAGTCACATATTTATTTTATAGGAGGACTGGGCTGGAGCGATAGCACAGCGGTAGGGCATTTGCCTTGCACGCAGCCAACATGGCCGACCCGAGTTCGATTCCTCCGCCCCTCTCGGAGAGCCCGGCAAGCTACCGAGAGTATCTCGCCCGCACGGCAGAGCCTGGCAAGCTCCCCGTGACGTATTGGATATGCCAAACACAGTAACAACAAAGTCCCCAATGGAGACGTTACTGGGCCTGCTTGAGCAAATCGACGAACAATGGGAGGGCCTTTACCTTTACCTTTACCTTGGTCCTCTCTTAGAGCAACCCAGCCGTTCATTACGTAACTTGAATCCATTAATCAATAGTTGGGCATTTATTTGGATAATTTCCCATATTCTCTTGAATGTCTAATTTCTTTCTCTCAAGGTAATATTTTTGAGTCATATTCATGTTGTTGATATGTCAGCACTTGACATGTTTTAGTTGCTTTAATGCAATTCCTTTATTTGACTGTATCACAATTTCTTTATCCACCTACCTATTGACATCATATTGGTCATTACTAGCTTCATTCCCATCCTCTAAACATGAAATAATCTGTTTCCTTGCATCTCTGCCAATTTTAGAAGTAAAAAATTCAATCTTGTATTTTAATTTGCATCCCTCTTTCGAGTATCACCATGTTGGATTTTAGTTGAACTCCATGGTTTCCTACGTATATGCCACATCCATATATTAAAATTCTTACTTGCTTTCACACATACTATTAATATGTCTCTTCCTCCTTCAATCTCTTTCTCTACATTCTTGGATACCATGTTCAGGTTTATATAACTCTAATATCAAATTACCTACGCCAGTTCAAAAATCTTTATTTTGCAAAAGAAACTACTCACTGTCTTCTAGACTTTTTAAATTTAAGACTGGCTCCATATTTACTATTTTTCCCCAACATATTATCTTCTATGTACTCCAACAATAATGGGTTTTACCTTGAAGTTTACAAATGAGTATAGTTCCAGCCTCTATTGCTTCCTCTACCCAGAACTCCTCTCTCTGTGTCTCCTTTTGTCTCTCTATTTTACCCCTCTCTCTTCCTCTCTGTCTCTCCACAATCCTCCACCCTGCCTACCTTGAAACTTGAAAACTTAACTTAAATTTCATCTTGTCGGGGGCTGGAGAGATAGTACAGAGGGTAGGGTGTTTGCCTTGCACGTGGCTGACCCGGGTTCGATTCCCAGCATCCCATATGGTCCTCTGAGCACCGCCAGGAGTGATTCCTGAGTGCAAAGCCAGGAGTAACCCCTGTGCATCGCCAGGTGTGACCCCCAAAAGCAAAAAAATAAAAAACGAAAAAAACATTTATAAAAAAATTTCATCTTGTCCACCCTCCTTAACCCAATAGACATAAGATAAAAAGTCATGCTTACCGGCACCTTCATTCTAAACTCATCTCGATAGTATTTAATGCCAATGTCAGTGAATGTCCTCTGGATAAAGCGAGATGGGCGAAGGATAAATATGAGCTGCAGGTTTCCTGGAAAGGCTACCTGAAAATATCAAGAAAAGTGTCTGGGCAAATGTCATGTCCACTAGTGTTCTCTTGACCAAATTCACAGTTAACAGATAAGTTAAGTGAACATCATGGATATCAAAGAGGCGATTGATTTCAGAAGTGAAGATCCCTTAAATGTCAGCGAATTCAAACTCCTCCCTAAAAATCAAACCAAACCAACAGAAACACTTCTGCTTATAAAAATATTTCATACTCTTTGCAGAAATTGGGGATTTTTGATTGAAATTTGCAAAGAAACTAGGATGTTAATAATTGCATATGCTTGGGACTGGAGCAAAAGCACAGCGGGTAGGGCGTTTGTCTTGCACGCGGCCAACCCGGGTTCTATTCCCAGCATCTCATATGGTCCCCTGAGCACTGCCAGAGGTAATTCCTGAGTGCAGAGCTAGGAGTAAGCCCTATGCAGCGCCAGGTGTGTCCCCCCCAAAAAAGGAGTCAAAACAATTGCATATGCTTTAGAAAAATAAAGCCCATAATCTCATATTTTCCATTTTAACTAGTAATTCTAATTAACAGTATGCTATTTTTCCTGCTTTAATAACTTTATCATGGTTAAAATTCACACCGCAAAAATATTTTGTAGGTGCTGGAGCAGTAGTATAGCAGGTATGGTGCTTGCCTTAAATGTGGCTGATGTGGATTCAATCCCTGGGACCGAATGTGACCCCTGAGCCTGCCAGAAGTGATCCCTGAGAGCCAGGAGTAAGCCCTAAGCACCAGTAGGTGTAGTCCAGAAAAAAACAAACAAATTAAAGTTAACTTTTTTTAAATACTATTTTTCATGATTTATTTAACCAACCTCATAGTACTAGTGGTTTCAACTATATTTTTACTATTATTAATAACACTGAAATGAACTTTTTATTCACCCTTTAGATCCTTCCTTCCTTACGTCCTTCTTTCCTTCCTTCCTTCTTTCTCTGTGCTGTGTATCTTCATACATGCAAAGCATATATTTTGCTACTAATTCACACCCCAGCACTCAAATATTTCTAGAAGAATTACTGAGTCAAAGACTACAAGATGGTTTTTTTTTTTTGCTTTTTTGGGTCACACCCAGTGATGCTCAGGGGTTACTCCTGGCTCATGCACTCAGGAATTACTCCTGGTGGTGCTCAGGGGACCATATGGGATGCTGGGAATTGAACCCGGGTCCGCCGTGTGCAAGGCAAACACCCTACCCTCTGTGCTATCGCTCCAGCCCCACAAGATGTTCTTAATGCATCTTATTTCTAAATTGATCTCTGGAAATACTGTTATCATATTAAGAAGTTTCTGGGAAAGAGATCACCCCAATTCATTTGACAACTTAGTGTAAAGTTTCCCACTGTCTTAGTGTAAAGTTTCCCTATGTCTTTCTCTTCTGCAAGCGATCTCCAAAAACAGTTTCCTACAGCCTTGTTTTTTTTTTTAAGAAAATCTTACCTTTCCCGTAGACTGTTCTGATTAATTCATACTAATATGAAGTTCAGGATATGAAGATATCTCCAATAAGTACCTGAAGAGATTCTCATTGCTAGCCAGAATCGGAGATCCTATACCACTGTATCTTTTGTGAATAAAGTGATCTACTGAATTTTTTTTAACAAAAATCAGACTCCAGCATTAAATTATTTAGGTCTTGCCCATGGACTCTGAGAAATAAGAAGTCTCTAGCAATCCTCTGGAATAGCCGTGGACATTGTCAAGTATCTACATCCTCAGGTCATCTGTCATTATTATCACTGTCACTGTCCTCCTGTTGTTCACTGATTTTCTCGAGCGGGACCAGTAATGTCTCCAATGTGAGACTCAGTTGTTACTATGTTTGGCATATCGAATACGTCACAAGTAGCTTGCCAGGCTTGGCCGTGCGGGCAAGATACTCTCGCTAGCTTGCCGGGCTCTCAAGACACTGGAAATAATCTCCCACAACCAAAATTAGCTCAAAGGGACAAAACAATCTGAGAACAAAGGAAGGATGGTCTCCCTTCCCTCGTCTTTGACATACAAACTCTAAACAGCAGCATTTTGTCATCTCATGACAGGATAAAAAATGAGCTGAAACACTCTCTGGATGAGGCTCTAAATCCAACTGAGAGACTCTCTATGTGAGTGTGTGTGTGTGTGTGTGTGTGTGTGTGTGTGTGTTTGTGTCTGTGCATGAGTGAAAGCCTCTAATTGTACAGTTTGAAAGGGCTTCCTTTTCCTTCTCTAATTAGGCATAAGTGACCTTTCAAAAGTCCTTCTCCCATTTTTGCCTCTACACACACATTCTCACCCTACCACATCCCCTCCTTAACAGCCAGTCCCCACTGCCCCTCAGGTGTTTTTGCAGACCCTTAGGAATGAGCACCCTGCTCCCCATAGAGACAATAAATAAGGAATCTTTCCTAAAGAAGGAAAAGGTAATCCTTCCAAAACTGTGCAACTAAATTTCCAAAGCAAGCACAGCGCCAATCAAAATACTTACAGATCTTTTTGTCTTATTTTGCAGGTGTTTCTCTAATATATGGGGAAAAATATTTAAATGCCAAAATGAATTGTGTCTTGCATTGAGTGACCTCCCTCCCCCAAAACATATCCTAAGACAAAGAGGGACATTTGTAGAGTTTATGGAGAAGACAATCTTTTAGTTTTTTGTTTGGGGGCCACACCCAGTTATACTCAGGGCTTACTCCTGGCTTTGTGCTCAGGAATCACTCCTCGAAGGACTCATGGGACCATATGGGGTGGATTGAACTTGGGCTGGCCATGTGCAATGCAAAAATCCTACCTGTTGTAGTATCCCTACAGTCTCTGGAGAAGACAATCTTTTAAAACCACAATTTGTGTTCATGTGTTGGGGAGGGGGGATGTTGCGATGACATGGCTAGAGACTCATTGTGTCCAAGAGGGGGTACTGCTGAGGACAAAATGGGTAAAGATTCTCTTAGATATTCTATAATAAATACCTTAAAACTGTGCCAGAGGGGTATGGATGTGATATGAATACCTGATATCTCATAACAACAAATGGAGGTCACTCGTGACATCCAAGCTCTCCCTGCCTGTTCTTCGTCAGTGACCAGAGCTGTCAACATGGCAGAAAGACTCAGAAGGTCTGTGACATACTCATCAATTGTGTGCAAGTTACCATCAAATGGCAGAACGGATATGGACGTGACCTAACAGTTCATGCGCCTAAGACCTTTCCTCAACAAGCCACAAAATAGTTGCCTTTTCTCCATGACCTTGCTTTAAAATGGCTGAATAGACCCTTTACATTCCTTTTAGAATAGCGGCCCAAATGAAATATTTACAGCTATCCGTGTCAAGGATGCTTTAATGGAGCTCCACTTGTCCCTTCGTCTGTCGATAACAATGACGAATCCAATGCTGGCGGCCTCCACACTGCAAAAAAGAGTGATCAGTATCAGAGACTGGGCAAGGCACATGGATTCAGGGTGACATGCTTCTGTAGAACAATTCTACTGCTTCCATGGCACTGCAGGCTCTCCAGGCCAAGCTCCTGCAGAAGATGGTTAAAGGGTTCTGAACCAACCTCCACTAATCTCATCCAGACTCTGTGTGGAGGGTGGGGTGGGGGGAGGAAGAGGGAGGCATATTCCACAGTGCTCAGAGATTATTCCCATCTCTGTATTTAGGGATCACACCTGATGGTGTTTGGGGACCACACATATGTGATGCTGGAGATTGAACAAGGCACAGTAAGCAAGGGTAGTGCCTTGACCTCCATACTATCTATAACACACCTTGCCTGTCTTAAACAAACAGAGGTGCTTTACATCTTAAACTCTCAGGAATGCTGATTCTCTGATCCCTCATGTGTAAACTAGGAACAATAACAGTCCCTATTTTTAGAAGCAATGTGAGGATTTAATGAGCATGCATAGCAGAACTTATGAAATGCTTAGAATAATCACTTATACTTGGTAATGCTACCATTACTATACCTTACATGCTTATGAAATAAGCATCAGAGAAATACAAGCATACTTCTACTTGAAAAGTCACTGGTTTATAGTTAACTTTTAGTAACTAATATTAGGGAAAGATAAATTTTACTCTTAAAAAGTGTCTATGTGGATAAGGAAGAAGATTAAAACAGAAGTTGCAATAATATGTGAATAGCTAATCTGAACTAAGTATCACTGGGAAAACTCACTATTGCAGACCCTTATCAGCTCAAGTTCTCTCACTGGGGACAATCTCCAGACCAAGGTGCAATTTTCAGGGATGGAGTGGTATCACTGATAGAAGAGGCACAGAAAGGAGATTCTGAATGCGAAAGTACCCAGGATTTAGAGGGAGTGGATGTCAAAAAAGGAAGCCCCAAAAAGGGCATCCTGAAGTTTTCACAGAAATTCCCCTTAAGTTGCTTGGCCAGTTCCTAAACCTGAATTTCAATGAGATTCCAGGATGCCAGCAGAGAATATCAGCGGCATGAGTAGGAGAGAAGTTGGTGAGAAATTATGAAATGGGAATGGCTCTGGAGATAATCTTTGTTTGTGCCTAGCAGAATAGACATATTTTGATGGGCGTCCTGGGTTTCAGGTGAAATTCTATAAAAAACACATTCTCGGATCAATGAAACACCATAGGCACTGCCCATAGCACTAAGACTACATTCTAGAAGGACAAAACAAATGGACTTGCCCTAGAGAAAGCTAAAACCAGGTCTCAAAAACATCAATATGATGTCATCTATCTACCAATAATTTAACTGTTTGCCAGATCAAAGCTCAATTATTTTTATAAGTAAACAAGCCTCTATAACATATCCTACACAATGCTTTGCACAGGGTTAAAAAGAAACAGAGATGTAAGGCACAGGGTAAAGAAACTAATAGCCAATAAATAAAACAGAAGTAGATCTAGGCTCAAAGATGTTCCTGTTCTTGCCGAAGACAAACTTTAAAAGAACTATTATCAACCCATTAAGGAAAATCAGAGGGAAAAGTGGACACTAAAAGATGCATTATTTTAACCAAGAATTAGAATCTATGCTACAGACTCAAGAGAACTTCCTATAACTACAATATAACAATAACAGAACGAAAAAACTCAGAGTCACTAAACACAGACAACAGGTTTAGTCAAGTCAAAAACAGAACAGTTGAAAATGTTCAAATGGAAACAGAACAGAAGAAATGAAAGAAACAGAACGTAAAGGTGATGTATGACATGAACAAAGGTCCCACAAAGAGAGGAAAGCTTGTTATCAAAAGAGTTTTTTAAAAAATAATTGAGATTCCATGAAGGCACATAGCTGGAAGATCAAGCATCACCATATGTGGCCTAAAAAACACCCTAAAACCTAAAATAATGATGGTGGAAGATTTTATCAAATCTTTTTAAGCATTGATTTCCATATTTAAACACTTCTTCTAATAACGAGTGGATGTTAGAATTTTATACATATATATGTAGACAATTCATTCAGGCATATTAGAGTTAATTGACTGAAAATTAAAGGAGAAAATATTAATAGCCAGGCTGTTTCATGGGGGGGGGGGGGCGGGTGAGTTCCCCACCCCGCCCCAACAGAGCTAGCCCTGGAAGCCGAAAACCTCCAGAACTCAAGCACTGCCATGCTCACAGCCACTCTCCACATGTTCAGATGAGCCTCACCCAGGAGTGAATCTATTCCTGGACCATGCAGCCATGACACCTGATACTTCACACCACAGATATACCAAGAGTAGCACACCACATCTGATGGGGTTTAAAGTAGAAGGCAACCAATCTTAGGAGGAAATATATTTATAAAGATATAAATACATACATATATATATATGGGGGGGCTGGAGCGATAGCATAATGGGTAGGGCATTTGCCTTGCACGCGGCCAACCCGGCCGACCCAGGTTCAATTCCTCCGGCCCCTCTCGGAGAGCCGGGCAAGCTACCGACAGTATCTCGCCCGCACAGCAAAGCCTGGCAAGCTAACCATGATGTATTCAATATGCCAAACACAGTAACAAGTGTCACAATGAAGATGTTACTGGGCCCACTCAAGCAAATCAATGAACAATGAGAGGACAGTGACAGTGATATATATATCACATATATATATATATATATATATATATACACACACACACAAGGCTCAATCTTTAACTACATGTTACTAACCTCTTATAGAAGGGCTAAATGGCTCCTGGGTGAAATACAACAATTTTCACACACTTCCCTCTAAGAAAACTTTTTTGGATCATTTTTAGAGGATTATTCATAACAAGCAATACAAAAAAATTACTTTGGCTCTGCTTTGGAGGCAAGATTTGGGGTTCAGGATGGGAACATTTGAAATATGGTGGTGGGAAGGTATAATGGTGGTAGGATTGGTATTCAAATATTAAATGTAACCAATTATTGTGAACAATCTTATAAAAATAAAATTTAAATGTAAAGAAAGACATAAGAGAACCATGAAGATAAGGAACTAAATCTGATGCTGAATTGAGGTTGTCTGTATTGAGAAAATATTAGACAGAGGATGCTTTCTCATGAAGTGGTGGTTGTCTACTTTGGTAATAGGTAAAGGAACGTGCCTGAAAGGAAATTATCCAGGACTGGAGTGACAGCCCAATGGGCTGAGAATATACTTTGCACAGGTGCTGGGCTTCAATCCTGGCATTGCACGGTCTTCTGAGCACTATCTGGAGTGACCCCCAACCACGAGTACCAAACTAAGAGTAGCCTCTGAACACCACTGGGTGTGGCCCCAAAACAACAACAGAAAGTTTTTTAACATCAAAGAAATAATCCCCAATTATAATCTGAATCTTTGGGAAATAATAAAGACTACTGTGAACATTAAGTATGTGGAATAAGATAATTATATATTTTTATTTCACAAAAAGGTCATTAAGTAGACAAAGGAAATTTAAATAAATTATGATTAAAATAAATGTAAAATATCTCATAATAGCCTTAAGGTTGAGATGGAGTCAATAAGATTATACTGTTGAAACTAGCACTGAATCAAATGCAACAATATTATTTACATTATAAACAAAAAACTCATGTAATGTAGATTGCTAAATTAAGGGCATACATTGTAGCGCTAGGTAAAAACATAGCTAAAATCCAAGTGATGATGCATAAAGGGGAGGTTATAAAAATAAAATGAGTAAAATACTCAAGTGGAAAACTGTAAACAATCTTTCAAAAAAGGACAGATGTTATAGACTGTCTATTAGCACAATTCATATATTGAGGCTCTTATCCATAATATGACTGTAACTGGAGTGAGAAGGTCAGGAAGACTGAATAAGTTCATGTGGAAGAGGTCTTTATTCAATAGGGCTAGTGCCCTCAGAAGAAGAGAAAGAAACTTGAATTCTTGCTCTTCCATAGAACAATACAGTGAGAAGGCAGTAAGAAGCAATTTGCAAGCCTGCACAAGATCACCAGAAATAGAATTGGCCAAACTTTTGGTCTTGAACTTGTAATCTCGGGAACTGTGAAAAAATTAATTTCCGATTTCGAAGTCAGTGATTTTCAACCTTTTTATACCTGCCAGCCAAGACTGGTCCTTGTACCAAAAATTGAAAAACCACTTTTAAACAGCCATACCTCCTTTATGGACTGGCAATAACATGTGATTAGTCACCTGATCTATGATATTTTGTGATGACAATCGAGGAGGAATCCAGCAGGGGAGAGGAAATAAAGGAAGACGTTACAAGGTGGTACAAATAGCAATATGCTACATCTGAACCCAACCAACGTCAATCCCATTAAATAGAAATGCTCTATATACCTACTTATACGAGGCATAAAATTGCAAAGTGAAAATAATAATCACAAGATTCACACTATATGTATGAACAAAGAAAGAAAAAAGATGGTAGAGATAAGCCTTGCCATTGCTAATATAAGAAAGAAAGTATGGTATGTTAATATATATTTGTGTGTGTATATATATATATATTTAAGTAGCACTAAAACAAGGGGTAATGGCAGAGACAAATTATTCATAAAAACAAAAGAGTCAATTTATCAGGAAGCTAAATAATCTAAAAGGTATATGTACGCAATGACATTGCTTCAAAATGTATTAAAAAGTGATAAAAACTTAAAAAATAGACAAGCTCATAAGGAATATTAGAGATTGAAATATGTGTCCTTTGGTATCTGAAAAAATACATAGGGACAGGAGATTGTACACCAGAAAGGGTGGATGTGCACCCAACCCAGCTTTGATTCCCAGCACCACACAGTACCACAGCCACCACCAGGTGTGGTCCTGAAGGCCCATGAGCACTGACAGGGTGGCCTGCGTAACCCAAAGAGCATCACATCCTCTGGCCTTTGCATCGAATCTCCAGCTGGCTGGCCCAGAACTACCAGGAAGTCCCTCGGATCTCCTCTTGGGAGGCACAC